ATAGAGAGGAAAAGAGGATTGAAAATCAGTTAAGCTGGTGGAGGAGGGCAGTCAACTGTAAAACGGGCCCAAATGGAAACTCAAGTATTACTTGGGTATCTAATTATAATATCATAAACCTGAAAATTACATACTGTCATAAGTCAATGTGACTTTGAAAAAATATATAAAGGAATCAAAAGTATCATTCCGGTGGTAAACAGATGCCTACCACACCAGGCCCTGAGTGAAGGCAGAAAGAAACCACGCAGCCCTGCAAGCACAGGTCGGGGCAGCCTCGTGGGCAGGTGAGAATCGCCTGAGCCTAGCACTCAACCCTCAGGCCTGAACTGCCAGGCATGGCATCGCCGAGACCCTCCCGAGCCCCTTTTCCCAGCACTTTCAGGGATGGCCCTTGGAAGAATTACTTTGAAAAAGTTTAAGGATTAGAGATTTCACTTAGATTTACAGGGCCCTGAGTTCAATCTCTGAGAGGGCAAAAATAAGTCTGGTCAAAACTAACTAAAAGTTTGAATATTAAATGTAATTGAATATTGTAAACTTATCAAAATAAAAAAATAATAATCGATAAAAAAGTAAAAATTTTAAGTAGAGGCTGGAGAGATGGTACAGAGGTTTAAGCACTGGCCTTGAGTGCAACTGACCCCAGCTAGATCCCCAGCAGCACACATCGTCTCCTGAGCACCCCAGGAGTAGACCTCTGACCCAAATAGCCCTCCCAGGGAAAAAAGAATTCAGCTAAAAAAGTACCTTTAAGAAAAGTACCAAAAATACCATATGTCTGATGCTTGTAATTTCTAGAACTACTACAATATCTCCGATTGAATGAACATGCAGACTTGATCCTTATAAGCCAGTCGATACAGTGCTTATTAGTACTCCCATTTTAGAACTGGTAGAACTTGAACACAAAGTGAGGTTTAGATACTTGTCTAGTGCCCCAGCAACAAGTGACAAAACTGGTTCCAGGCTGCATGTAACTAACTAAACTGTAAGTCTGAAAGCTAACTTAGAAATGATTATAGAAAAAATGATGGACAGCTGAAATGCCTACACTCTCTCCATTAGTTTCGTTTGTTTGCTTTTGTCCGGGGCCACACGGGAGTGTAAGGGCCGACTCCTGGCTCTGCACTCAGGGGTCACTCCTGGGGGGCTGAGAGAGCCAGATGGGGTGCCAGGGCCAGCAGGTCAGCAGCGCGCAAGGCAAACATGCTATGGCTGCACTATCACTCCAGCCCCCACACTCTGTTCACTTAATGATTAATTTTACACACACACACACACACACACACACACACACACACACACACACATTAAAAGGAAACACACAGAATGATACATACCAATGCTTCTATATGGGCACTTTCTATATGGGACCATATTAAAAGGTACTTCTTTCACTATTCCTATCAGTTCATTAATTATAATTTCTCTAGTACCACTAGCCTTCAACTGATGAAAAACAGCAACCCCCGGAGTGCGGGTAAAGAGGGCTGCAAAGCAAAGCAGAGTGACAGAATGAGCTATGTACACCAACAGTAATAAAAATACTGGAACCATAAATCTTTAAATATCATTACTTTGTTTAGCCAGCATTAATGATGAATGCAAAAGCGGCTTAAGCCGAACACAGCAGTTGGGGCAGAAGACAAGGAACAGTATACAAATCCAGTTTCCAGTCTCCACATCCGGGAGGTTTCTGACAGCAATTCTAATAGGAAACTCCAAATCAATACATCAAGCGAGAGAGAGCTGTCAGGAAATGAAAGCCTTTCTTAAAAGGCTCCTCCGGTCAGGAATTCCTGTGAAGGGACAACAGGGCAGCTATTCCAACCCCAACAGCCAGCGTGCAAGCAGCACCAGCAAAACCACAGCTAATTGAGCACACAGGAAATTCCAGGCTCAATAATTCAGCAGCATTTTGGGGAACCGCATGAGAAATTTTTTGCATTACAACATTCTGATCGAATAAAACTGAAAATTATTAAAAATGTGGAGAGAAAGGAAGAAAAGGTGAAGAGTAGGTGCTGGGGGTGGAGGGGGGTTGAGAGTATGCTATAACGAATAACTTGGTCTAATAAGATATATATATATAAAAGGAAAAGTTTTACATAAGCTAGACTTTCCTGTGACTGAAAGTTTTTATGTAAAATGTTAAGTATGGAGGTCATAGAGAAAGTACAGTGGTTAAGGTGCTGCCAAGCTGAGTTCTAGCCCCAACACTGCGTGTGGTCCCAATCCCATGAGGTGCCAATTCCTAAGTACAGAAACAGAGTAAGCTCTGAGCACTCAGGTGTACCGTACACCCCCAATACCCTCCCAAATTATTTATATGTGTGTGTGTATATAAAATAAAATAAAATCTAAGTATTTCACAGAGAGCCAGTTAACTTTTTTAGGACATTTGAAAATAAATTAACAAAACTACTTATTTATTATTTGATTAATATGATTAACCTTCAGAGTTATCAAGTCTGAGCTCAAAAATTATATAAAGGGTATAAATGAATAGAATTTTCCAGGGATTTAACTGTCTCCTTACATGTACCTTATTAAAATGCTGTAGGATATTTATGGTTACATATAAGTCATTTCTAAAAATTATATTCACAGTAACAGTAATACTACCTCTTTCAACACTAATAATTTTACTGATAGAACTTAAATTGTTGTTTTTGGTTTACTAAAAACATTACAGTTTCTAATAAAACTATAATGGGACCCCCTATGACAGTCTAAGAATATTTCTACTGGCGCATACCTCCCAAGGTCCATCTAACTCCCAACACCAATGAGGAAACCTGCCAGGGGCCACACTACCTGGCAAGTACCAAAAACCTGATATTAAAAAGAGGAGAAAATCCTTTATGTGGGACTTAGATACACAGCAAGATAGCAACAAAGGCAAAGGGCATGACAGCGAGAGAACTAATCCACAGCACTGAATGGGTGGGAGATGGGAGTGCTGGAAGGAGGGTCACTGGGGTACTTGCGGGGAGGGAGACAGGGACACTGGTGAAGGATGTGGTATTGAAAGTTGTAGTGAAAAACTACCATTAACAATACGGTAAATGACCGTATTTCGAATGATTAAAAACAATTCATAAGTTTAAAAAAACAGAGGGGAGAATCACTTTGGTGAAGATACACCAAAAAATGGAGAGGTAAAAAGAAAAACCCCCTTCTCCAAAAGTGAAGATTTATTGAAACAAGAAAAATTAATGTGACTGCGCAGAAGCCAGCAACACATTTACACAATAACCAAGCTTCCTAATTCAATGAGGGCAGCAAGTAACAGAACATCTGCCACTCGGGAAGGTTCAGGACACAGCGAGAGGCCAGACAACCCTAATTCTCCATAGTTAAGTCAGAGAACTTGAGCAATACTAAGCTATGACTACTAACTTAACCAGGACTTCCTTTTATTCACACTTAGGGGAGAAAATATGCAAACTTAAACAATATTCTGCAAATTAATATCAGTTAAAAAAAATAAAATATCAGTTAAAAGTACTTCTGAATCTATGCAGTGCAACAAAATATATAATGAATTTTATATACCAAAACCTCTGACTTTCCCCTGTAATTCAAAACTTCTGATTTTGTTTCTATCAAATATCCTAAATATTCCTTTACTAAGGCTATTTTCTATCATAAATGTGAACTTAAGTTAAGAAAAAAAAAAGATTTGTGATGGAAGGTTTGCATAATTTTTTGTTTCCGCTAAAATTTCATTGTACTTCTTTTTATTAGCATTGCTTTTTGTGATAAGAACCTAAAATCTAGTCTTTTCATAACTCTGAAGTACATAATATTGTTGAGTATAATCTCAAGACATGCATAATAATGCATAATTATACATGCAAATTCATAGACCTGCTCTAGAAATTATTCATATTTTAACTTCAAGTTTATCCACTTTGAACAACATATCTATAATTCTCTTAATACCCAACGTATTCAAGTTTCTAGAATGTGCCTTTTGTACTTAAAAAATCAAGTTTCTCTTAAAACTTGATTTTGCAAGATTCTTCTTCATCAGCTAACACCTTCTTTGGTAATTATTGATCTTTCAAAAATAATTCCAGGTTCTTATTAGATTCTTAGCCACCAATGAAATAAATTTTTTTCCATGTGTTTTCTCTGTAGCACTTGCAAACTCTAACTTCATTTAACAAGGCCTTAATATGTTAAAATATATGCCAGGATGTCCAGCTATGCCAGCTCCTTCTTGCTACTTGTGTATGTACTACTTGAGTATTTAAAAAAAAAAAACTGTCATTGCCTTAAATAATGTTTTTTCTATTTAAAAACAAATCGTTTGAAAAATAGGGTAGAGAGTAGAATTCTTTTGCTATTAGGTTAAATGACCAAGGCTATACTGTCTGGTCTTGAATTGTTGTGAAAAGTGCTCAGGTTCCACTAGGACAACATCCAACTGTACTAGGGGATCATGGGGTGCCAGGAATTGAACCCGGAGCCTTGCATGGAGTCTTCCACTTGAGCCACACATGGGGCTGTGACACATCTGGCCATGGCACTTGTACAACTGGCCATCGTCGCATACATTCACTGCAGCACTTGCGCACACGTTGGCTGGCCACATACACTGAGCTGTGGTGCTCTCCCGTATGTTGATTGTAATGCGTGCTGAAGGTTGCACCCCCACTAGAGTGCGTACTTAAATTCAGCTGTAATACTTGCTGAGGGGCACAAAGTTTAGGTGCAGTGCACACACACCTTGACTCAGTGCATCAGAGATCACACATTCTCTCATCGATAAAAAGGCGCCAACTACAAGGTCATGCCGGACACATGTGGGCAACCCGTTTCAAACTCACTATCTTACACTTGCAAGGCAGGTAACCTTTTCCTTACTGAGTCATCCCACAGGGTCCTGAGAAAGCATTCTTTAGTTGAGGAAACCAAAATGCAACCTTATTAGTAAGCAAAAGCAAAAGAAATTAACCATGGAGCAACACTAAGTGAAGAAAACTTACCTTGCAATGGTAGGATCTTTACCCCAAATTCTTCGAGGCATCCAAGAGCCTGGATAAGATCTAGTTCCTCTTGAATGGCAGCTGGTCGGTCTGTCATCAATTGTAAGCAGCACCTAGGAAGAATGAAAAAGAAAAAGCAGGTTTGACCAAGTTCTATGTCTAAATACTTCAAGAACATGAACTTCAACACATACTATAAAAGACCTAACCTATGTCAAGCATTCTGCTGGATGCTTTCTGAGACCTTACTTAATCCTTATAGCAAGCTCATGAGATAAGTAAATAGCATCATTTGCTTTCAAGAAAGCCAAAATTGAAGCGCAGAGAGGTGAGTTATTTCCGAGGATTTCACTGATAGTGTATAAATGGCTCCTTGGTATATATGAAGCAAGATATGTTAAATATGAGCTTCGGGGGGTTTTACTGCTGACTCCAAAGGGAAAGGACAAAATTGGGATAATACGCAGTTAGTCTTCTAACAAAAAATGAGAGAATCTTGGTTTAGTCATAACCTTGTCTCCCAAAAGGAGAGAAAAAGGATTAACTGTAAGACTGCCTAAGGGATAGTCTTCTGATAGAAAAGGACCATCTCAGGTAGGTATCTAGGGCAACGGACCTGGGACTGTGTTGGCTCTTGCAAATTTACAGGATTTAAATTAGGTGAACGCTAATACTTACTGCTAATTCAAATGTAAAAAATGAAACCTCTTAGGCTGCAAATGACTTCAAATAGCAGGCAAGAAGCTTGCTTTGCACTCAGCCTTGTAGGTATTAGGAGGCCCTGTCTGATCCACAGCATCCTATGGTACCCCAGCACACTAGTATTTTAAAAAAAATAGCACTGCAGGATTTTTAAAGCAAACATATCAATTAAAACCAAGTATGTAAAATAGTCTATAGCTGTCACAAGAGAACTGAAACAAACCTATATGTGGTCAAAGGAAAATTTTCTATATGAACTGAAAATGATACGGGGGAGATACTGAAAACTATGTACATAATAAGGACTTTATTTGTGACTTAAGAAAAGATGCAACAATTGATGCAAGGAAGAATAATTATTATCTACTAGAGCCTTTTGATATATTGCTTCCTCAATTAAAAACATAGAGTAACAGATAAAAGGCTCGAGAATGACTCAGAGGGCTGCAGCATGTGCACCCCACACAAAGTGCCAGGTTCAACCCCCTCGAACAGCACTGCAGAATCCCACAGTACCACAGGGTGCCCTGAGCACCACCAGGAGTGACCCATGGCCTCTTCCAGTGTGGCCCCAAAGCCAAAAGCATTAAGTAAAACAAATGAATAAGTAAGCATTACAGGTGTATGCGTTATTTTCTGTATCCTCTATAATTGTGAACATTTTAATATACACAATTCAAAGGTCACAGTCTTTGTATCACATTATACATATATAACTGTAGCACTGGAGCACTGTCCTCCCTTTGTTCATTGATTTGCTCGAGCGGGCACCAGTAATGTCTCCATTGTGAGACTTGTTACTGTTTTTGGCATATCGATTACGCCACAGGGAGCTTGCCAGGCTCTACTGTGCGGGTGGGATACTCTCAGTAGCTTGCCAGGCTCTCCGAGAAGGATGGAGGAATCGAACCCAGGAAAGCTGCATGCAAGGCAAATGCCCTACCTGCTCTGCTATCGCTCCAGCCCATACATATATAATACCTTTTAAAATTAAGCTGTATTCACATATGCAACATCTTTTAAAAAATCAAAGTGAATACCTTGAGATTTTTAAATTTTAAAAAGATTTTAAAATTTAGGCATGTTCACCTTAATATAGGAAGCATATATGTGTATGTGTGTATGTGTGCGCGCGTGCGCACATATGCATGTGTGTGTGTGTGTTTATTTTTTAAATAATAACTGGGAATACCTGCCAAAGTGATTTAAGTCAAACACTATTTCCAGTTTCAAAAGCTATTCTACTTGAAATTTTCATCATCTGAAACAAAAAGGCAAACCCTTGTGAAACAAGAAAAAGGACTATTTTTAAACAAGTTTGTCAAGTTCAATAACATGGTCTAAGAAAACATGATTCTCTTTGCGTTAACACTGAGAGAAGAAAGTACGTGTAAGTTTTGTTGAAGTTAAAACAACAACTAGTGACTTTGTCGGGAAAATAAATCTAAACAGCTACCACAATCATTATACCCAATTACACTCCAAATGGGGTAAAGTTTTTTATGAAAAACATGAAACTTGGAGGTATGGTGCCACCAACAGGTCAATTTGTATCTGTGGGGTGAGTATATCAGCAACCTGATACCCCAAAATTGCCTTCAGGCTTCCTGATACCCCAAAATTGCCGCTGTGCGTTTGGCCAGACCCCAACACCTTGGGACCAAGTTTACCAAGAAAACAAAGTAAACAGACAAAAGTTAGGAATGCGGGAACCATGCCCATAAACCACCTCCGACTCAGTTATACAAGCTCATTTATTGGCCTCATTTCACAGACCCATAGATAAATCTTGAAAGAGATCAAAAGTCACAGTTAATCTCAGACCCACACATGGCTGAACAGACTGGGGTAAACTGGAAGGAGGGAGGGTTGGCCTGGTGCCTGCCCAAGCAGAGCCCCCAGCAGTCATTGCTTCCACAATTTAAAATTGCCACCATACCCAGGGCCTGACTCCACCATCTCAGGATGGACGTCACCAAGATATAACCTGCTGAAAATTTGGGTATTCGGGTTTTGTGACTGAAATCTCCAGGCTCTCTCAGAATTGGTTCTCCCCAACTCCCTGTACTTTTGGAGGCCTTGGCAGTCACATCCAAACCCCAAAACAGGCACGCAATTGAAAAGCTATTCCAGCCTTACCATCTTGGTAAAAATACCAAATGCCCTGAATAAACACCATGACCTCTTAGCACCTGTACTGTAAACCACAATGCACAGAAGGAAAAGGAGAGAGAAAGCAAGAAGGAAAGTGCCTCCCATAGAGGGAGGCTGAGGAAGGCAGGGGTCCAGGGGGGGTGTTGGTGGGGGAAAGGGGGACATTGGTGGTGGGAAAGGGATACTGGTAGAGGGATGGGTGCTGGATCATTGTATGACTAAAGCCCAGTTATGAACAGCTTTGTAATGATCTATCTCACGAATATTCAATTAAAAAAATTAAAAATAAGTAATGCGGAGTCCATGCCCAGTTCAATTAGGTTAATCAATGACTGAATAAATAGCAGTACTCCTACATTGTTTTTTAAAAAAAAAGTAAGAAAAAATAAAGAAAAAAATAGAAAAACATGAAACTCTTAAAGCAGTAAAGAAGAATATGAGCAGGGCTGTAGAGAGAGTAGAGCAGGCAGGGAGTTTGCCTTGCACTCAGCTCAATCCCTGGCAGCACCTAGTGCCTCCAAGTCTGCCAGGAGTGATCCCTGAGAGCAGAGCCAAGAGAAAGTCCCGAGCACTGCAGAGTGTGTGACCCCAACACACACACACACACACACACACACACACACACACACACACACACAGCAAAAACATAGAGAAGTATGGGAAACTGTAAGATAACATTGGTTTGTCCTTGCTCCCTTGCCGCAGAGAGCTTAGGTTTATAGGGTTACGCTCATCACCGTGCTCTAGAGGCACTCCCATTCCTGTGTGTTTATCTTTAACTTCTCTGTGCTCTGCTTCCCCTATTGGTTAATCACTTATATCCCCAAATCAGACCCTGTGACTTGTAAGGTCAGATCCTTCTAAGGACTCTGGATTTTGTAAGTGAAATATTGCTCTTCTCTTTCCCTCATGTCCTTTGCATAGTTTACTTTAGAGCAATGTCCTTTTTGTTCAGACACAGAAATTTACTCCTGGGCAACTGTCATATTCACTGAACTTAAGCCTCAGTTGCCCTCAGTTCCTAGCAACCAAAAAGCAGGGTCCCGACAAAGGGACTGGATGTACCCAGGGAAAGCTATAAGCTAGCTACCCTGGCATCAAAACAGGAAGGACCAAGCACCATAAAACTTATAATAAGAACACGATCATGGACAAATTCTGTCATGACCCAAAGAGAAGTGACTGGACAAGGATCCTGCTGGGGTTAGGAGGGACGAACCTGGCCTGAGGACTGTAGTCTGAGATATATATCAAGATGTCCCCAGGAGAGCTACCCTTTAAGCGTTAAAGTATCTCTTACTGTGTCCATACAAAATGACTAGAAAGATTATTGGGAAGTAAATTTAAGATGACTCTTTAAATGTATAAGGACTAAGAAGTGGAGAAATAAGCCTTTAGATGAAATTCTGCCCTTGAAAATGCAAATGTTCACAAGGCAGAATTAGAAAGATTGACAGTTTAAAGAAGTGGCACTTTGGTGTCCTGTTAATAGGAAATAAACTGGTATCACTTAGCAGCACATATCAAAATTATGTGTTTCTCTACTGATCCTGCAATACCACTCTGTACTGTATAAATGAAAGTAACAACTGTAACCAGTTCACAAACTAAATATGTAGCCAGTTCCATACATAGTTTTTACAATAGCCCAAGGAAGTAAGCCTACTACGCTGTTTTACAGATGAGGATGATAACTGGCCCACAGTCACATAGGAGTTAGCTGGATTCGCACACAGGCATCTATCTCATCCTCACTCTCTGTTGCTTCTCAAACAATGAAAACAGTCTGGAAACTCAGAAGCAATCAAAGGCAGTTCAGAAAGGGCTGAATGAATGCAACAATTCAGCACAATGCTTGAAGGCATAAGACAATATTCAGGGGCTGCATACAATGGCATGTCTACAGGAGAAAAGCACATATGGTACCTCACTCTTACAAAACTGTACATGAGTATTAATGCAAAACAACTAGTCAGAGAATGATTTGGTCCAAAACATCTCATTTATTTAAATAAAGAATAAATGATTCACTGTCAAATAAAATGCAAAGACTCTGTAGCTCTGCAGGTTGTTAATAAAAGATCTAAGATTACAGGATAAAATTAGAATAATGTGTTGGGAAATGGAACACAGTACAAAAAAGCTACCAAATAATTCACAAGGTTAGAGTCACCTTGTACTAAAGGTGTCTCCAACTTTCTTCTGTTTTGTTGATCAAAAAGTATAAATTCAAAAGTTGCAAGAAAATGCCAGATTCTCAAAAAAAAACTGCCTTAAAACAAGGATGAAAATTATTTCTGTAAATTTTGGGAATAAGCACAGCTCTGAGCAAGAAAATGCAAAACAGGTTTTAGAACAAAGATCTCAGGCTAAGGAAAAGAGGACAGAACAGACCCAATTCTGAACTGAAGGAGAAATACTATTGGAGGACAAACCACAAGAGAGTTTGGAAACAGTGGTCAAACACACAAGCATCCTGGCTTATGACCAAGATGGAATCCAAAGTCAGTTTTTAGTTTCTAGAATACAGAACAAGTAAGATTATCATTTTGAGGTTCTGAAGATTCATTGGTACGGAGGAGATACATTTATATACTTGAGCCTTCTTTAAAGTAAAATGGTTTTCTTTAGAGAAATATGAAGGGAAGGAGAGAGGGGACAGAGGGAGAGAGACAGAGAGAACATGGGCTTCTTCAAAGAGAACAAAACCAAGAGTCCAGATCTCAGGTCCAGATGCAGGCTAATCTCCAAGGACGAGAACGCACCAAAACTTACTGAACAAAATGCACTGGGTTCTTAACTTAATACCTATTAACTTTAAAACACCATTAAATAATAAAGAAATTCTTGAAAGACTCAGTAGAGTGTTATGTATCTAAAATATTGAGAATTTAAGATTATGAACATTATCTTCCTTTCCTTTGTTATGTTAAACATTAGCAACAGACTAAAATATTAGTACAACAGGCCATGAAAGGAACTGACATCTAAAGAGTCTAAAAAGTTCTACTGGAAGGGAATTTTGAGTTTTAATCATCTAATTAAGTGCTCCATCCCTAAACAGAGTGGAAGTCATCTATATAAAAGATAAAAAAAATCATCTAAATATGGTGAAATTTTTTCAAATCTTTGAAATCTGCTCTCTGGATATCACAGGAATCTCTCCCAACAGAAGAGAAGTTCTACCTTATTGGTACCAAGAAAGACAGAGGAAAAGCATGCTGGAGAAACAAGGTCACCAGAAAGCGATTAGGTTATCCCTAATAAAATTGCTCCCTTTCTGTATTGTAGCAATAGATAACTACATCCACTGAAAATTACCAATCTGCATTTGTGATATTCTGGGGTGAAAAAATAATAAAACAACAGAACCGTCTGTCCTGACTTCCCACCTCCCTCTTATGGAGGACAATGGAATCCCGCTACCTGGCCAGATCCATGCAGCTGTCAGTGAGGCTCGTGGACGAATTGAAGTATTCTCTGCTGGAAGCCAACACTAAGTCGATACTCTTTTCGTAACTGACCCTGTACTGGGTTTTCCCTTTATGGACTCCACTAGGAGGAGGATTTATTGAACCATCACTGCAGTGCATCATCTGTCCAGCCAGGTGGATATTTTCAAGGCGACTGGAACAAAGAAGGCTTTCTGTAAAGATCTGGGGAAAAGAAGAAATTGGAATTAATGTTTGATGAGCAAGAATTCAGTTCTCAACACAAAGAAAACCTCTGGTAATCATAAGAGATTAAAAGGCCATCTACCCTAGAGGCAGAGATAGGATACAATTTGTAAAAGTACTAAATAACAATGAATTGTATACTACAGGATGGTAATTTCTAGATTTACAGATTTCACCTCAATTGTTTTGTCTCATACCCATCTGTGCTCAGGGCTTGCTCTGGGCTATGTTCTCAGGGCAGTGCTCTGAGAGCCAAATGTAGTTCCTGCGATCACAGCCAGGGTCAGCCATATGCAAGGCAAATAAATACGTTATCCAAGTATTTACCCTAAAAAACACCCTATGTATTTTTAAGGGTAACAAAACGTAATGGACAAAATTCAGTAGGGAATTACAATGTTAAAAGGTACTAAAATAATATTTTAAAATATTTGCAGGAGTACATTAACCTCATTTAAACTATTTCAAACGATTACAGTTTCCTTGAAGAAGAGCAACTAATGAAGTTATTAAAATAGCAAAGCCTAATACAGAGTTAAATACAACAAAAAACTATTAAATTTATCAAGCTGTTATAATTACATAGGAATAGTCAAAATGTTTGCTGCAAATTTCCAGTCAGAATCAAAAACAGAAAAATACAAAAGAAAAACCATTTTAACTTAGAAACACTATTTTAGATAACATAATGACAATTAGGTTTGAACCCATGTGCATATTTATTATTTTCTTCTTGAAATTGTATTTCAACTTTCCCTCAAGAAGCAAAAGGAGAAGTGAATGACATTTGTATGAGATGCGAAACTGTCATCATCAATATAAACTTTGCACACATTTCAGCAATTAAAAAAGACAAATAAAGAACAATTTAAGGATCACGGAGATAGCTCAAAGGTTTGGCAAAGAGCTGGAGCTCATATTTTGCATGCAGGAGCCCTGAGCTCAATTCCAGACACCACATGGTCAGCTCCAGAGACACCAGAAGCAGCTTATGAGTACCATACTGGGAGTAGTGCTTAAACACTGTTAAAGTACAGTCCTCTGGGAGTGATAGCACAGCAGATAGGGCGTTTGCATTGCACACGGCCAACCCGGGTTCAATTCCCAGCATCCCATATGGTCCCCTAAGTACCGCCAGGAGTAATTCCTGAGTGCAGAACCAGGAGGAACCCCTGTGCATCACCAAGTGAGACACAAAAACCAAAATAAAAATTACAGTCCTCAAACCAATACATGTGTGCATGCATATATGAGTGTATGTGTATATATGCATCTATATATACATATGTGTGTATATATATGTATATACATTTATATATAAAACAAAACAATTCATTTCATTAAAGTCTACATTGGTATTCTTCTGTTAAAGTCACCTAAATTAAAACACCAACCAATTTCAATAAATAAAGAATACTTTTTCTAAATCTCATTTTATACATTGGGTCATACTTTGTGATACCAGAGCAAACCAACATGAGAAACATTATATATAATCCTTTGTCTAGCTTATTTAAGAGGAAAATTCAAGTGGGATCTTAATTTCATACTGTATGTTGTTAAAAAGTAATGTGGTGGCAATATTCCTATCGTCCAAGTTTCTGACTTTATTCTCCAGGGGTCGACTCTTAGTCAATTAATAACCATTTCCCAAGTAAACAACTTATATCCCAAACATTATATTGAGCACTGGAGAATATGAGGGTAAATATAATATGACAACAACTACCTAGGAGCTCATGACTAAGCAGAAAAAACATTCACATGAACAAGTAAACTGCATTTGTGTTTTCATATGCCTTGTTCTACAAAAAATTCTATGAGACCAAGGAAGACATCCTAAAGGCATAACTGAGTCCTGAAATTATCTTTTTGGATAATTTCCAATAAGGCACTTTCAAATAAAGGAAAGAGAAATGCATTCCAAATAAAGAAAACAATACATGCAAACTCACAAAACCTTGGGCAAGCAGAGTGGACAGAAGAATCCTGATAGTTAATGGCATGCTGCTGGAACACAGGGCATGGTAGAAAATGGCAAAGGTGAGAATTGACAGGAAGCAGAAGGACCTATGGCTTTCCAAGCAGTATAGATTCTTTTTCCAAGAAGTATGAATGCTCTCTGCTTTTGATATGCAATAAGCAGCAAAATTTAAGCAGGTCTATTTTAGAAAAATAATCTGGCCCAGGGTAAATTAGGAAGAGACGCAAAAGAAAAGGGACAAGCTAATATTGTTGTGATTCAACAGGGATGAATTTAGGACAGATCTGAAGACTTTTCACAGGAGTTTGAAATAAGTCTTACTGATCACAAGAGCTATGGAAAGTAGGAGGAGTCATTACAGTTCAGTTTGCTGAGACTGACCCTATAATAGTGTAGCAAAGACCATAGGTAGATAAGAGGTCAATCATGAAGGCGCTGAAAAGAACAAAGCACTATTTTAATCAGCAGCTTCTACTCACAAGAACTACATGGAGTGAAGTTTCTCCCAATAACCTCTGACTCCAACATGAAAATTGTTAACAACCAGGTAGAGAAGATAGATCAAAAGACTGACATGCGGGGTCAGAGAAATAGTAGAGCAGGCAAGGCTCCTGCATTGCACATGGCCTGCCAGGGTTTAATCCCTGGCACCCCACATGGTCTGTTGAGCCTTATCAAGAGTGATTCCTCAGTACAGAGCGAGGAGTAAGCCCTGAGTACCATCAGATGTGGTCCAAAAGCCAAACACACAAAACAGACCAGAGTGCATGCTTCAATTCAGCAGTCCCGGGGATGATTCCTGGCACCAGAGGGTCAACAAGCACTACATCTAAAATAGTTCCCCCAAGCACAGCTGTGTGCAGCCCAAAATTCACAGAAAAGGAATAATGCAACAAGCAAATAGAAAAAAGGCAATCATTTACACATGGAAATTACCTCATAGCAAGCATCCACATCTAAGCAGGTGTACACATTCTGTTGCATCGCTAACATGTCTTGCAGCAGCATTCTCCAATGTGACTCACTGACAGGAGGCTGCCTGGAGAAAGAAGAGAAAGAAAACAGTTGGTGAGGTCTCTCCTCGGGATTGGCAAAAAGTTTAAAGCAAACACAGAGACACGCACACACGCATACAAGCACACAACAAAAAGATACGCATATCCGACACACGTGGTTCCAAAGAAGCAACAGGAATATGTCTTCTCTGAATGTTCAGGAGAAGCCTGTTAGAAAACAGAATGTTGGGCAACTCCGTATCACAGTCAGAGAGACCACCAGGGCTGTCAGCCATGGGCTGCCGAGATATACAACCCAAAGGGCAGTAAACACTGGCAAAGCTCAGACAGCAGTGAGCTTCAAAGATGTAACAGATGTGATACAGCAGAAAAACACTTTGGAGATGAGATCCTTCCTCGTGAAGTCTGTCTTCATCACTCTGCCAGTGGCCAGCAGGGGATGGGGCTACTATCAACTCTGTGTGCATACTGGACAGCATCTAGATTTCATGCAGGCCATCACCGCAGAGCTGGGAATCTAGCTCTTGACAAACCAAGTGTGGGCCTGGCAGTGGGGTTCTTGCAATACTCCATAGGACAGCCCTGTAGGATTAAGAAATCTTCTCCCCAGGTGACAGAAGACAGAGCCTCTTAGGGTAGTTTCAAGGGATTAATCATCCCATCTGGTATGGGAAGTTCTATGTCCTACAAGAGCAAACAACTTTTGTATCAATTTGTGAGGCACAGTTCACAGTGGCACGTCATGGTCACACCAGGGGCCACACCAAGGAGGCTCAAAACATGAACCTGGGATCACCTTTTCAAGCTCACTTACAGTTCCTCCAGGTCAGAGGAATTGACTCACAAGAAACCAAAGTTAGACAAGCCATGAGGCCTATGCAATCGGGTTGGTCAAGTACCACTCTACATCAGTAGGCACAGTTAATAGAGGTAGAGAATTTACGATTCAGATACCCCTGCAAGCAGGAAAAGTTTGTTTTCAACAGTTTCACACAACAGCTGTGAGCAAATCATGGGGAAATCCTGAATATCAATTTCCTTACCAAAATCCACATGAGAGTTAGAAGTAATGATAAGGAATAAAGGAGATTAATTTTGATAATTTTCATAAAACAAAGGCAATAAAGCAAGAAGTATAAAAACAATCTCAATTACCTGTATGAGTTTGAATGTTTTTTAATCTCTCTAAGCTTCATACTTTTGTATATTCTGAGAATTAACTGAAACTGCAGTGTAGAAAAATAGTACTTACCTCCACACTATCCTCACTCCCCATCATCCTGGTTTCAAGCAGTAACAGGATAAGAAACGTGGCTCAGTGATAGAGCCTTTACCTTGCATGTGTGAGATCCCGGGTTCCATCCCAGCAACACACACACACACACACACACACACACACACACACACAATGGACAAACTAAAAATCAGTAAGTACAGTTGTTGAGCTCCCATATGATGCAGTAATTCCACTTCTTACTTTTTAAAAGTATGAAAATAAATAGTATATTTTCCTACACTCTAGTTTCAGTTAATTTTCACAATATACAAAACTCTAAAGCTCAATATGCAAATCATTATTCACTGCAGCACTCAGTAAAATAGCTAAGATTTGGAATCAACCTAGATGCCCACCAGATAAGTGGATCATAAAGATGTGGTATATATTCACAATGGAATACTACACAGCTGTAAGGAATGATGAAATCATGCAATTCACAGCAACACGGATGGAACTGGAAGACATCAAGCTAAATGAAGTAAGCCAGAAGTAGAAGGATAAACATGGGATGGCAGCAGTTATATGTGCTATTTAGAATAATTGGATAAGGTAATGCAAAGGGAGGGGATGCCCAAATCGACCTTAAACCCAAAATATAGAGAGGAGGTTACTGTCGCGGGGCCACCCCAGAGGGGAAAGGGTGCTGTCCCTCCACCTGCTCCCCCTAGGCAGCTTGGTGGCCGCCATCCACCAGAGGCCATTGGACAGTCAGGTTTGGGCCCTCAGTGACGAGACAAGTAGGGCCTCACGGGATGGGTGTGGAGCCAGCCCTTTCCCTCCCACCCCAACAAGACCCCAAGTCGTCGACCACGAACGGCCTCTCTGGCTCCTGATCAAGCTGCTTAACGGCCATGATCCCAGAGACTCAGAAACACATCTCGAAACCCAGCAGCTTTTGCAGAAATGTGTCCGGAAATGCAAAAGATTTTTAATGTATTTCCACTTGTTTATCTACACTCCAACTTGCTTAAGATTCAAACTTTAAAAAATGAACTTAGAAGGTTAACTATTAAGAGGGCAAGTTGGCAGGAAGCTGGGAACATTGGTGGAAAGAAGTTAACACTGGTGGTGGAAACGGTGTTGCAATACTGTATACCTAAAACTCAACTATAATAACTTTGTAAGTCAGAATGCTTTAATGAAGGTAAAGGTAAAGGCCCTCCCGTTGATCGTCGATTTGCTCGAGCGGGTCCAGTAACGTCTCCATTGGAGACTTTGTTGTTACTGTGTCTGGCATATCGAATACTCTCGGTAGCTTGCCGGGCTCTCCGAGAGGGGCGGAGGAATCGAACTCGGGTCGGCCATGTTGGCCGCTTGTAAGGCGAACACCCTACCGCTGTGCTATCGCTCCAGCCCGAGTTCGATTCCTCCGCCCCTCTCGGAGAGCCCAGCAAGCTACCGAGAGTATTCGATATGCCAGACACAGTAACAACAAAGTCTCCAATGGAGATGTTACTGGGCCCGCTCGAGCAAATCGAGCTTTAATGAAATTAAAAATAAATTTTTTAATGAGGTGGAACAGTACAATATAATTAGAGAAATAAATGAATTATAGGAGAGTAGTATGAACTGCCCAATAATAAGTTGAAAATACAAGATTAAAAAATGGATAAACTTGGGCCTGAGAGACAGTACAAAGGATAGGGCGTTTTTCTTGCGCACAGTCAACCCAGGTTCGATCCCCAGCATTCCATATGGTTCCCTGAGCACTGCCAGGAGTGATTCCTGAGTGGAGAGCCAGGAGTAACCCGTGAGCATCGTCTGGTGTGACCCAAAAAGAAAAAAGAAAATTTTTAAATGGAAAACTAGAGACACACAACTTAAGAAGACTGAGCTGTGAATATAAAATCTGAACAGACCTACCCTACTAAAATGTGATTAAACCAGTAATCAATATATCAAATTCTATTGATTTCAAACATTTTCCTTACTATGTTTCTTTAAACCTCAGATGAGAGACAATTTTTTACACGTATTGTGAAAGTTGTGACACATATAGATGAATAAGAGCTAAACGGTTGAAAAGAAATTAAAAATAAAAAGCAGTAAGTCTGGGGGCTGGAGAGACAGCACAGCAGGTAGGGCATTTGCCTTGATGTGGCGGACCTGGGTTCAATTCCCAACAATCCCATATGGTCCACTGAGCACTGCCAGGAGTAACTCCTGAGTGCAGAGCCAAGAGGAGTAAACCCTGTGCATCACCGGGTGTGACACAAAAACCAAAAAAGAAAAAAAAAGTAGTAAGTATGAAAAATAAAAGTTCAAACAGTGAGAGAGAGGAAAGCAACATGGAAAAAACAATCCCGTTCACAATTGTGCCCCAGAAAATCAAGTACTTAGGAATCAGCTTAACTAAGGAAGTAAAGGACCTGTACAAAGAAAACTACAAAATGCTACTTCAGGAAATAAAAGAGGACATGAGGAAATGGAAAGATATCCCCTGCTCATGGGTCGGGAGACTTAACATTGTCAAAATGGCAATACTACCGAAAGCATTGTATAAATTCAATGCAATCCCTATAAGGATACCCATGACATTCTTCAAAGAAATGGAGCAAACACTCCTGAAATTTATATGGAACAATAAGCCCCCACGAAGAGCTAAAGCAATTCTTGGGAAAAAGAAAATGGGAGGAATCAACCTCCCGAACTTCAAACTGTACTACAAAGCAGTAATAATCAAAACAGCATGGTACTGGAACAAAGGCAGAACTGCAGACCAATGGAACAGGGTTGAATACACTGACATCTCCCCTCAATCATATGCTCATCTAATCTTTGATAAAGGTGCAAGTAATGTGAAGTGGAGTAAGGAAAGCCTCTTTAACAAATTGTGCTGGCATCACTGGACGGCTACATGCAAAAAAATGGGCTCAGAACTCTGCCTAACACCGTGTACAAAAGTAAGATCAAAATGGATTAAAGACCTCAACATCAGACCAGAAACCATAAGGTACATTGAAGATAAAGTTGGCAAAACCCTCCATGCCATTGAAGCTAATGGTATCTTCAAAGATGCCACGCCACTGGCTGAGCAAGTGAAAACAGAGATAGACAAATGGGACTATCTTAAACTAAGAAGCTTCTGCACCTCCAAAGAAACAGTGACCAAAATACAAAGACAGTCTACAGAATGGGAAAGGATATTTGCCGAATACACATCTGACAAGGGGTTGATATCCAGGATATACAAAATACTGGTTAAACTCCACAAGAAGAAAACATCCAACCCCATCCAAAAATGGGGCAATGAAATGAACAGAAACTTTCTCAAAGAAGAAATCCAAATGGCAAAAAAGCACATGAGAAAATGCTCTACATCATTAATCATCAGGGAGATGCAGATCAAAACCACAATGAGATACCATCTCACACCTCAGAGACTGGCCCACATTCAAAAGAACAAAAGCAACCGATGCTGGCGCGGATGTGGCGAGAAAGGGACACTCCTTCACTGTTGGTGGGAATGTCGACTGGTTCAGCCCTTCTGGAAAACAGTAATGGACGATTCTCAAAAAATTAGAAATTGAGCTCCCACTTGACCCAGCAATACCACTCCTGGGAATATATCCCAGAGAGGCAAAAATGTATAGTCGAAGTGACATCTGCACTTGTTTGTTCATTGCAGCACTCTTTACAATAGCCAGAAACTGGAAGAAACCTGAATGCCCAAGAACAGATGACTGGTTAAAGAAACTTTGGTACATCTGCATAATGGAGTACTATGTAGCTGTTAGAAAAGAT